AGTACAAAATAAAAATTGAAAGAAACTATATGTAGCTGTAAAATATTTTTTTCTCTGTATATATATTTTGCATCAATGGCATTTATTTGTATGTATATATAATTAATTAATTATATATATATGGATATATTAGTTTATATTTTAACTTTTATATCAAAAAAAGAACATGAGGTGGTGGTGGTGGTCGGCCGTGGAGGCCAGGATGGAGTTTTTCATCGAATAAATATATGACACGTGGAAAGATGCACCGACCTAGGCTATTGATTCGGAGATGCGATGAGGTTTGCTTGACTGGAATTGGAGGATGCGATGGGTCACAAGACACAATGAGTCACGTTCCCTTTGGACGTGATTGCTTCGTCTGTCCTTTTTGATTTGCCATTGTCCTTTTATTCCCAAAGATAATGACGTGCCACTTCTTACTATATTATTTTATTCTTGCATGTTAATAGATGTAGGAAAAAAAGACTTTAAAAGAAATTATAATATTTCAATTCACACATAAAAGTTCAAAATTCTAAAAAAGAAAGTAATATTTGATTTGGTATTTTACAACTGTGGTTAAATAACTAAAATATCTTTGTATCATTTTTTAAATAAAAAAAACTATCAAATTTGTCATTACTAATACATTTCTTGTTATTAGCTAGATAACACTTGTTATTGTCAGCTCACAACTTATTAATAAATAGCTTATTATTGCCAGTATATTTTTCGTCATTTGCTGTTCAATACTTATCATTATTAATTCATAACTTGTTAATAAATTTTTTTGATACAAGAGCATTTTTGTCATTTAACTACATTTACAAGATACCCAATCAAGCATCACTTTCTCTCCTAAAATTTTGAAGTATTAGGTGATTGAATTAGAATATTGCAATTTTTAACTTCTTTTTATGTCATTTTCTCATAAATATATTAAATTAATAATTTTTCTTTTATATTTGCTCATACTTATTTAAAAAAAGTGCAATACATTTTTTCTTACCTATTTTGTATTGTATTTAATAGAGATAATAAAATTAAAATAAAAATTTATTAATTACCTTACAAGAATAACATATGGTTATGAATTTTTAGTTGGAAAGGGGTACATTACTTTCATAGGCATGATTTGACTGAATATATATACCCCCTTATCATGCCATTCATTCATACAATACTCCCTCTATTTCTTATTATAAGCAACCTTATACTAGATTATGTATACTAGATTATGTAGATTAAAATGGTAGTTAAAATTAGTTAAAGACAATAAATGTGTAAAATTGAAATTTGTTTCTCTCCAAAATATCCTTATTTATGATGGGAGAGACATTATATAAAAATCATGAAGAGAGATTATATCCCTTACATTTCATGATTTCTCTTGACATCAGCCTCTAGCCTTACTGGTGGAGAAATGAGCTCTCCCGTCCCCACTATTTCCCCGTGGTTGACAAAATGAGATGGAAAAATAGGATCCTCATGAGGTGGTGGGGGGGGGGGGGGAGTGAATATGGGAAGATGAAATTCCGCCTAAAATTTAAGGAAAAAGACGCGGGTTACAGCTAGAAATTTGAAATCCCCATATATGCATCATTTTAATAAATGTATTACCAAAATAAATATATTAAAATAAGTATTTATTAGGGGCAAAACAGAAAATTTGTTATAAAAATTTAAGACAACTGTTAAAAGTTGTTTATATTTAGGGACAGAATGAAGATAGTAGTTATTGTTTATAATAAGAGACGGAGAGAGTATAACACACTTTCATAATATCAAACTTAATTATTACATTTATTTTTGAGCACATGTAGAGATAATTTCAAATTATCACTTTGCAAAAAAAAATTGTTGCTTTGATGATTTGAGTTTTAGTAGTGCAAAGTGCACTTAAGGGTCCCTATTATATCTTTAAGGAAATCTGTTAGTTTATCCAATATGGACTCTAAAAAATTGAAATAGATAGGGGCAAAGTAAACCCAAAAGAAAATGTTACTCATATCTTAAAATATTAAAATACTCCTCTGATCCTAAATATAAGACTCTTATACTAGTGTGTGTATAAGGGTTTTATATTTAGGACCGGAGGAGTATTGTACACAACTTTCATCTTCATCGCAACTCTTTCTATTTCTCAGAAAACCAGTGCCACTAACATAAGGGGTCATTCCTTTCAACTCTGGTGTTTAAATCAACGTAGAAAATTAAACAGAGAAATCTATAAATGAGTGGAAGACTTGAGGAGAAATGAGACGAGTTGTTCAAATGGGGATTTCATGAATAGTTCGAGTAGCCTGAAGAGATTCTGTTGATTCCTACAATGATGAAGGCAAAGAAGTAATAATGCTTAGCTTTTTATCAAAATCCAAATTGTAAATGTCATAATCATTGAGATAATGGAATTGCATGGGATGCGACAAATTCAATTTTAGTATTTTGTGATCATAAATTATATCCAAGTTAGGGCTTTAATTAATTAATTATATATTTCACCATATTGGTAAGTTGATTCGAATTCATGAATATTTATATAAATGGGACAAATTGGATGAATAGTGAAAGCATTTTCTCATGTCAGCCTCATCAATTCTCTTTTGAAAATTGAATTTGATAAGAAATGCTATTGATCACGTGAAGACTTCAACTAGGAACTTTAACCAAATCATCTTCGCAACACCTTCCCCCAACATGATAAAAGCTTTTGCCATGGCTTCTGTTAGGACTAGTAAGTAGTAATGGTGATTCTTATGTGCGTTTATTTTCTTGTTCTTTTACTCATTCTGTATTATAAACTGATCTTTTATCCGAATATCTTTTTTTTCTTTTTAGAAAAAAGACAAAAGGGAAAAATTGGTGAAAATTTTCTGTAAAAATTTTTAATTAAAAAATTTTATAATTAAAAAATTTTATTAGTCAGAGGGACCTAAATTGAAGCATTAGAACTTCTGTACATTAAATTTACAGATTACTAACACTTTCTATATATAAAAACATAAAAGGTCACTCTAGCTAATGAAACTTCTAAACAGAGACTGTTCACCTATTTTTGCGGGGAAAAAAAAAAAGAATAAATGACTTTGGAAAAACTCATGATATTAGGTTCATTCACTTAGGCATCGTCGATTTAATAGATATTTAAGGGATGGATCCCTACAACTTTTATCTCTTTCATTTTAAGAGAAAATGAATCCTTTAGATAATATATAACTCATAGTAAATCTTATGTGGTGACACAATAGGATTCTCTAATTTGTTTGTGGGACTTGGTGTATGGGACTCATCTAATCATAGTTATAGCACAATTGTTCAGAAGATGGTTGAGAGAAGCACCAACCCTTTAATTGATATTTTGCTTGCTGATGTATATATACAAGAGGCTCTTGGTTGAATCTGCACTGCAATACTGCAAAAAGGAGTGGCTTTGATAGTTGTTATTACCTTTGCTTCTAAATATAAGATGCCTTTATGGTACAATTTACACTACAAAGTAGGTACTATTTCTGGTCCTTAATATAAGAACTAGTTTAGCGTTTAATTTGGTCCGAAATATAAGATTCAATCCACTTTGTCTCTTATATTTATTCATTATTTTCAAAATCGTCCTTGTAGTAATTGTACATGTTAAAAGTTTCATCAAATGATAGTAGTCAATGCACATGATTATCAAGGGTATTCTAGAAAAGATAATACTTATTTATTTCAAATAACTAACTCAACAAACTTTCTTGATCTACTCAAATTAGTCAATTATTTCTTATATTAATGATTAGAGGTGATATTATATTTAGGACCGAAGGTAGCATGATTGTTTTGTTCTTTTCACTTACAAACTCCTCTACTTTTGTATTGTCCTTTGTTTGTGTTTATTGTGATTGACATATTGGACATGTTTAATGTTTTCTTAAATTACTCATTGGGTACTTTTCTCATAGAGAATTCAAACTTTGATTCATCATATTTTGAAAAACTAGTCTATTTCGTTAAACCTAATTCTCATTGGTAACAAATCCTCTTCTAGCTCTTATATTTAAAATGATGGAATATAGGTCATCTCATTTTTTTTTTGGGCATGAATAGGTTATCTCAATTTTTTCACCAAAGAAAACCTGAAAACTAGGTCATCCCTTTCTATCTTTGGATGATCTTCCTTTTTTTTTTTGGGCTAAGCAAGTGTATTATCTTGTTAGAGACAATCTTGTTCAAAGCACTATTAAACACTAAATATGAACACTTTTCTCAATGAAATTTAAATTTTGATTCACTATATTGTGAGAAATTAATTCTTTCCGCTACCCTCAAATGCCATTGGTGGATGCTCTTTTACCTCTTGGGCTGATATTGGACATTACAATTAATACTAGTTTGGGTCTTGGGTCGATGGAGTCTTGCAAGTTGGGCCTTATTAATAGGCTAATAAAAAACGTATTTTTTATTCATGCCGCATGTCAAATCAATTCTAAGTCACCGTCCGGCCCAAAAACCCAAGACATTGAGATTGTTTTCAACAAATGCTCACCCTCAGCTAGCCCCAAAAAAAAAAAAAAATCTCAGGGTCAGCGGACGACCTGCCTACCGTGAAATTCCTTTCCTTTTTTGTGACTTTTTATTTTTTTTAAATATAAGACCCTTATATATACTAATATAAATGTTTTAGATTTAGAATAGGAAGAATAAATCTTTTTCCTTTTTTTTATTGAAGACAATATTAGAGTAATTCAACATACTTTTTTTTTTGTTGGAGAGTGATTCAACATACTTTGTTGAAGAAAGATAATTTTAAAAGATGATTAAAAATATGGAGCAAAATAATGAGGATAATTTTTTTTTCTTTTTTGTTAAACATGAATTATTATAAATATAATTTGGCCCTGAACGGCCCTTTCGTTTCAGCGCGGGAAACTAGAATGGGCATCTCTTGGCAAAGCAGCAAAGAGAACCATATAAAGCATACGAATTCCAATTTCGATTTCATCGTCCCATCCTTTTTTTTTTTTGCCACCAATTTCTACTTCTCTGGATTGTTAATGGCCAACGAAAGACACTCCTTTCAAGTCAATCGCTCCCTTCCCCACGGACATTGCGGATCACCTCACGATTTTTTCCCCCGACCTACCCATCTTTTTCTCTCCCCTTTCAGATTTCTTGAACAATTCAAACAAACCCCATTTTTGCTGGTGCGTATTCGTCTGCCTTCTCTCTTGGGTTTTCCGAAACATAGCCTCGACCTAAATTTGTTTCGAATTTTGTATTGATTGGTCTCATACTGTCTACCTAACTTTTTTTGTTTCTGTAATTTGACATCTGGGTTTTCCCATTTGCGCATTGTGATTCCTTGTGAGTTTTGATGAGCTAACCACTTTTGAAATTGTTAGAGCAGTCTAAAGCTCCAAGAACATGAAGCCTGATGAAAATGAAGCAGGTAAAGAACCAGCTGAAGAGAAAAAGGAAGGCGAGAGTCTGCCAAGACATGCGAGCGAGTCTTCTGTCGCTCCAACTGAGGATGACGACGATGACGAGGGAACCAAATTAGAGCTGGGGCCTAAATGCTCTCTTAAAGATCAGCTTGAGAAAGATAAGGTCTGTGTTCCCTGCAGTTGAATGTTCCGGTGCATATTACATTTTGTTTTTTTAATAGTCGCACACTTATTTATTAGATGTAATAATGTGACTATGGGTATCTATGGCGTCCAGTATTTCTCATCATATTTATATTCTCTTTTATCTCTATTTTCTCTTTATCTCTTTTCAGTGAAAAGTCCGGATTGATTACATATTGATGTGGAAGTACCCGGTTTATCCCCAGCAAAATCATTTTGCCGTCATCTAACTTTCTGATGTTTTCTGTTACTATCTAGTTAATCTTTAATATTTTGTCTCAGTTTTGATCAAAATAATAATGTGAAAGTTGTAACGATTCATTTCACTTGTGTCTTAAATAAATTTGTTGTCTATTAAATTAATATTATTGGTATTAAAATCACTGCAAATATTCAAAATATAACTGAAGAAAGTGGTGTGCTAACAAATCGTGAGGGCTTTCACAGAGATATGCGTTTCAAATCTATACTGAATTTGGCCAACTGGAGGGGGATATATTGTATACACTCATTTCCCCAGTTTTCTTTTCTGACTGTTGTTTCCTCCTTAATGCTTTTTTTGTCGTCTTTTTGACAATACAGGATGATGAGAGTCTAAGGCGATGGAAGGAACAACTTCTTGGCAGCGTGGATATGGAAAATGTTGGAGGTGTTCTATTTCCCTTATGCCTTTATTTCTCGAATTCTCAATTACTGATGTTTTGTTTTTGCTCTCAGTTATTTCTATATGATGGTGTCAAATCCTGTCACTAATTATTCATGAAGATAAATGTGCTGAGCAATACCGCTTTATGTTACTTTTCTTTCTGTATTGTACCATGTCAACATCACGCTCTGATTTATGTTGTCATTTGAAAGATTATGTGTTAGAATGTCTCTTTTCTTATGTGAGTCCCTTCAATTTTAAGTAAAATTTTTTATATAAGTTTAAATTTATTATCTAGCTAATCCTCTTTCTATTCTATTCCTGTATCAAATAACTCGATTTCTATTTGCCAATTTATCATTTCAGAAACTCTTGAACCTGAAGTGAAAGTTCTTAGTCTGTCAATCATTTCTCCTGGAAGAGATGACATTGTTCTTCCTATTCCTGAGGACGGAAACCCAAAAGGCTTATGGTTTACTCTTAAAGAAGGTAGCCATTACCGTTTGAAATTTGCCTTCCAAGTCAGCAACAATATTGTGTCTGGGTTTAAATACACCAATACCGTCTGGAAGACTGGCATGAAGGGTAAGTTATGTCGCAATTGTTCCAAATATATAATACAGGCTTAAATGCAGTTAGGATTCTTTTACCCTTATAATAGTTTCAATTCGGTCTGCATAGTCCAAAAGTAGGCAATATTACCCTCCTATTTTTCTTAAATGATCCAATTTTGTGATTTGATCGCATCTCCATCCAAAGTTCAAACAGTCTACTGACTTCTACTCCAAGTCTAAGGATGGGTTAACCATGCCAGGTGTATAAATAATGTCTATGCTAGGAAGTTATTTACTTTATGTTCAATTTTACATGGATGGTGTGACAGAAACGCAAAACATTTTGAAAAATTGAGAGCGACATTGCTCACTTTACAAGCAGGAGGTTCATATTAGAACTTTTATGAACTTAGACCTGTTATGGACAAGTGACGTGTTAATGGATAATTTGTATAAAATTATAGCTAAGACTTCTGTAGAAAATTCTAGTTAAGGGCTGCTCTGAGCACGGTATTAAATGTTTATGCTGATCTAACTTCTAAGGCATTGTCTTACAAATGAGTATCATTTCAGTGGACAGCGCAAAAGAGATGTTGGGAACTTTCAGCCCTCAGGCAGAGCCCTACACACATGAGATGCCGGAAGAAACCACACCCTCTGGGATGTTTGCTAGAGGACAATATTCTGCGAAATCGAGGGTAAAACTACCACTAAATAAAGTCATACAATTTTCTGCATTTTCCAAAGACAAACAGAAACATGGAATACTCATATTTAGATGACTGCTAATGTATTAGCCCCTCACTACACCACAATAGTCAGAGTTAGTTCTTGATAAAGTATTCTCTGAGCTCAAACTAGTTGCATTTTGAACTATAATTAGTTGCTGCAATTTCTGTTAACCATTTTCATGGGATGAGGCTATGAAAAGGGTATGAGCAATACTTGCCAGATGTTTCAGATATTTAATGCTTCTCAGTTCTCATCAACATCATTTCTTACCAGACAATATATTCAAAACACATGTCAAATCTTCCTTGTTGAATTTACCTCTAATGTTATTTATTTTTCAGTAGAGAAGTGATTGTGTGGTGAACAGCTTTCGAATTTTCCTCTTATTTCTTCCTATTTGACATTTTCTCTGGCTTGCGGGGAGACAGAATTTTATGTCTTGATGCAAAACTCTTTTGGTACTTGCTTTCACTTTGCCTGAGCTTTCGAGTTGTACGACAGAAGTTTTTGCTTTTGCAGTTTGTTGATGATGATAACAAATGTCACTTGGAGATCAACTATACCTTTGACATCCGGAAGGAATGGGCTTCACCATAGATGGAGAGCTTCCCCAATTTTCCCCACTAACTCTCCTTCAATCTGTCATATACTAGCTTCTGTTTGACTGATTTAAGAAAGTCGGAAGTACATTTTATCTTTTTTTTTTTTTTTAAAGGTTGAACAATAATATTCATATGTTCAAATTTTAAATGCAAAGCAAACTTTGGGCTAAAGCAAAAATGTCGTACTTCAGTTAAAATAATAAACTGCAAGAGAGAATGTGATCCTCGTATCAGTCTGCCAAGATTGTTGAGAGGCAATAAGAGAGGTTCGATTCTTTCATTTTAGTCCAAAGTTTTAGAAGGTATTTGATCACATTTTTGAAGTTTGATTACCCATTTTGTACTTAAACCTTAGTTGAAGGAGATAAAATATACTCCTCCGGTCCTTAATATAGGACCCAATTGCTAAGTTGGTTTTGATCCTAAATATAAGACACATTTCTCATATTTATCAATTTTCTCTTAATTACCCCTATGGATACTCCATCAACCATAATCAAGTAGAAGATAGAGAGGGGTATTAAGAAAGATGATTATGGTATTTTAGGAAAAACATGTCACAATTTTTATAATTAACTAACTTACCTAACTTCCTTAATCTAATCAAATTAGTTAAATGGGTTCTATATTAAGGACCGGAGGAATAGTATTTTTCCTTTTTAAGAAGTTCACACGTCTTGGGTTTGTATCTAGAATTTCCTTGATAATTAAATTTATTTTGAATTGAATACCTCAAAGAAGCGTATTACTTGGATACATACATATGCACGAGTGTGTAATAAAAATACGAAGAAACTTCTCACGAATAATTTAAAATCGCATTCCGCTGTAGATCACTAGAAGTTAAAAGATAATACAGAGGATAAAAATAGAACCCAAATAGATTAAGGCAATATACGAAGTACAACAAGCGAAGCTACATAGTAAGCTTCATAAAACCAATTTTACCGTGTTCCTTTTTTTTTTTTTTTGGCCGAATATTATGTTCCTACTTTGAACTATACTCATCAATACAGAAAATTGATATCAATTTTCGAACAACACATGGTAAAAATTAAATATTTTGATTTTCGCATTAAAATTTTATTTGTATTAGAAAAATTAAAAAGTGATCATTATATCACGTTTTATTTCATTTGATTTAAGAATATGTTATATTAAAATTATATCACTTTCGGTCCTAATTATAAGATCTCATTTGTAGACTATAAATAGGATTTTATAATTTTATAATTAGGATCGGAGTTAGTACATGGTTAGAGTTATTGCTATTTGTATCATATTTGACTCTCGCCCGACTGGCCAGAAATCATGTTCAACACACGCAGACTTATACGTATGCATGTGCATGTACCTTGGGATCAGATAAAAACACAATTTGTGAATTGATTGAAGCAAAGAGGAAGAAGTACGGATTAAACTGTAACGCCTTGCATAATTATATCCGTATATGCGATAAAATATTTCATTTAAAAGTTTATAAGTATTTCTAATATTTCAAATAAATTATAATTTCAAAACATTTCTAACATAACTTGACAAAATAAACTATTGAACTCTTATAGTCATGACAAATAAAAATATAACATAGCATGTGTTTGAGGAGCATAGAAGCCTTCACGGCTCATTCCATTGGTGCCTTATCTTGATTCCTACTAGATTCTTCATCTGAAAAATTGTTACTATAAGAGATGAGATCAAACGTTTTAGTAACTGCTGAAATTCTAACCTGTACAAGCAAACCATATATGATAAACCAAAAATCTATTTATATGTGTGTATATATGTATATATAAAAATCAAGAATTTGATACATTTAACTTAATTTCATTTTTGATTCAGCAATATACCGATATCATTTTTCCAATATATCAAAAATAATGCAATATGCTACCTCTCTTATATCACCATCTACCCTTATATCGCTGACTGGAGCCATAGTACTAACACATAGTCTGATAGAAACTAATTCATTTTACTGAATTATTCCAAATTCACCGATACTAGAGATATATCTGGCCAAAGATATAGAGCTCAAATTTGGACTATGGCTCCCTTCCTTTGCGAAGAGAAAGGTGTCACATGTCCCACAACTCCAATGAATTCCTGGCTAAAGGAAAACATGAAAGAAGGGGCATTGACAAGTGTCATCCACTGTGCACCAAGTGATGGCATATCACGTGGTAATTTATATTCATACAAATCTCTTTCTATCCTTAGCCCAACAATGCATATGTCAGATGCAAATAATATTACATCATAAATACGTCCTCAAGTATATTATTAAAAATAAGATAGTAATAAAATTTCTGTATCATTTAACAACAACTCGTGATAATTCTATAGATATCAATATATTTAAATATTAATCATAATCAATAGCAATAAATCTTAAAATCTAATAACATATCAAACATTTATTTGAAAAATCATAATACTATATTTCAGTAATATAAAAATTAGTAAATCCACAATATAATCATACATAATTCACATATACAAGAAAGAATTTTCAGAGTTATCTGGTAACTTTTAGCTTACAAATAATCACACAAAGACTACTCCAAAATTCTCAAGAGTCTACAAAATTACACATAAATATTTATTAATATAAAACTCAAAACTACTCTAAAATTCTAAGACTACCCTCTAAAGTAAAATTATATAAACTCCAAGATCTAGCTATTTATAATAGATATAATATTTTGAAAATATAATTTACATATAAGACTATTTAAATCTAATAACTTAAATAAATATATATTTCTTAAAATATAAAGATTTTATATTAAAATATCAATTATTTATTATAGTCTCATTTAAGATTTCTCTAAACTAAACAACTCTTTTAATTTATAAATAAGCTGTAACTGTATTTAATTTCATAAAATTCTTAAATTACAATTTTTTAAGTCTTTAAAAATTATTTCAAAAATATATCTTTAACTTATTTTAGTATTTAAACCAATTAAAATTTTAATAATATATTAAATAACTCAAATAAATTATTTAACGTGAATTTAATCGGTAAAAATATTTTATATTTTCGAACAACAATTTGTTCAACTAAAATCTTAATTTAAAATTCTCAAAACAGTCATTAAGTAAATATAAACAGATTAAAATTCTTTAATAATGTATCTTTAAATTTCTACGGTTATACATTGTCTAAACTCCATATTTACTCTATACCCAAACAGTAAAATTTTCTCCAAACATTATAATGGCACTAATAATATAAAGTTATAAATATATAGAAAATATTCATAAAGAAAATTTGATAAAAAAATATTTTTGTATACTTAAATAATCTCCAAAACTATTAGGTACTTTATAACTTAGCTTTGTCTCTCTTTTCCTCTATACTTCTCACTCTCTTTTCTCTTTTTTTGCTCTTTCTTCTTTTTTTGCTCTTTCTCTTCCTCTTCCGTCTCCCCTCCCCTTCTTTTATTCTATTTCCTCTCACCTTCCAACCACCCCCTACCCCTTTTTTATTCTATTTCCTCTCACCTTCCAACTACCCCATCCCCATGCCTCATTTTTTCCTACTTCAATTAATGCTTGCCCCCATTTTTCTTTGTTCTTTCTGAATTGCCCAGCCTTTCCACCGTATTCGGTGGAAAGCTGGGTATTTTTTTTAATTTATAATATAATAATATAATATTATTTTAATTAATTGATATATTTTTTTAAAAAAACAGTATGTTACATAGACTTACATAATTAAATCTATCTAAGAGGTACAATATCCTTTTAATCAAATGTTAAAGCTAGTGCATGTTAAAACCAGTAAATTTTAATATTTATTCTTCATTCTATCTCAATAAAGCGTTCACATGCCAAAAATGAGAAAGAGATGGATCAAAAGATGCTCATGAAGAAATTAATTTCAGTTTATATTAATTAGCTTAGCTGGTTGACAAAAATACAGAAGCAAGGACTTTTCGTGAAATCACGAGTATCTAACAAATAGTTGATACTATATCCATTCTTAATATAATATTCAGTTTGATTTTTAATTTAATCTCAAATATAAAACCTCAATTTATTTTATTTCTCATATTTAACCACTTTTTTAAAGTAGTCTTTGTAATAATTGCACATATTAAAAATTCCATAGAATGCTAGTACTCTAATACAAATAATTAGGAAGGGCATTCTAAGAAAAATAGCACCTATTTATTACAAATAACTAACTTAACAAACTTTTTTAATTTACTCAAATTACTCAATTAGCTTTTACATTAAAGATCAGAGGTAGTGTAAGAGTTAGTTTGACTTTTAATTTGGTTTTAAATATAAGACTAAATCTATTTTGTCTCTTATATTTATCTATATTTTCTAAAACAGTCATTGTAATAGTTATACATGCTAAATATTTCATCAAATAATAGTTCTAGCTAATACATATAATTAGCAAGGGTATTTTAGAGAAGACAAGATTTATTTGTTACAAATAACTAATTTAACATACTTCTTTAATCTACTTAAATTAGTCAATTAGTTTTTATAAATTTTAAACGATTTTATTATTATTGGTTCCCACGTAGAAAAAAGAATAAAAAAACTATATAAAATAGGGATTCTTTTTGAGAATATGTTTATAATACAAATAAGAACACATAAAATATATATCCATGCAAGGGAGTCAAGTGCTATTCGTGTTTAGCAATTTTATTTCATTGTACATTATTTATGTTTCATTATTATAAAGTAGATAAATTTAGAGTATATTAATATGATATGATATATAGTTTGCACCATATTGACATATTTTTAGTGAAAATTAAAATTAAAATGAAAAGAGAATCGGTCATCTATATAATTAATATAAAAATCTTAAGTAGCCTCAAAATTATTTTTGAGTGGCAGTGCAAATTATTTTTTAAATTTATTGCTTTAGTTTCTTTATCATTCTAATTCAGTGCTCTATCTCCGCTGGGGGCATTCTTAAAAAGATAAAATTATTTTTTAATATAATTACAGTTAGTTTAACTTTCAATTCTATCTTAAATATAATATCTCAATCTATTTTGTCTATCATATTTATCTATTTTTTAAGGTAATTCTTGTAGTAATAGTAGTTTTGGTTAATTTGTTTAATTAGCAAGGGTGTTTATTATAAATAACTAATTTAACTGATTTTTTTAATTTACTCAAATTAATCAACTAGCTATTATATCAAGTAACTGAGCTGGTATTAAATGTTTGTCGTAAAAATGACTTGTATTCGATAATAGAAAATGTTTCTAAAATGTGATTTATTACAGGAGTAGCAGAGAAAGAAGAAAGAATCAATAAATGGAAAACAAATTGAACGAGGGAGGTTCAGTCAGGTTTCAACTGCCAAATGCGTATAAATAATAATATTAGCATGAGACCGTCAGACCACGCAAAAGCTTGTAGCGCCAAAAAGCTTTCCCTCCTTCTTCGCGGATCCTACCGTCATACATATTTTTCTCTCGACCCCATTTTGATTTTCAGACATCACACCCAAACTCTCCCTCCCCTCTCGCTCTCGCTTTCTCTCCTTCTTCCATCTCTTCTCGCAACTCCAAACTTCTTGCAACCATAATGATGACACATTTTTACGTTTTTCCCTTAAGGTTCTGAGTGTATCAGGTACCTCTTCTTCATTCCCCATCTGGGTTTTATTTTCTTCTTCCATGTTTCGTGCCTGTGGCCCGCGTGATTCTTCTGTTGGGTTGGTTAAAGCAAGCATTTTGCATGCACGTTCAATTTTAGTTTTCGTTTCCTTCATGCGTCGGAGTCTGTCTTCGTTATGTTGTTTTGTGATATATTGTCATGATTTGCTGAGACTGCGTCGGAATTTTTATAAACTTATGATGTGTTATGGGCAGTGTTCTTCGAGGCGTTTGATTATTTGCACCCAAACCGCGTTCAAAATGTCTAGTTATGTTGGAGTCCTTGTTTCTGATCAAGAGCTTCAGAGCCAGTTCACCCAAGTGGAGCTTCGAACCTTGAAATCTAAAGTAGGTTGTTCATGTTGTAATTACGTATCGTCATTGCTTTATAGACATCAGTGATTTGTTTCCTTGAAGAAACCAATACTGTGGCAACCTGTCCGTGTTGGACTGATGCCTGAAATGAGTTATCTTCTTTACAGTTTTTATCGGTGAAGACTGAATTGGGACGAGTTACCGTGGGAGATTTGCCGTCCCTTTTAAAGAAACTTAAGGTTTTTAATGAATTATTCGATGAGGACGAGATTAAGGCCAGCTTGCGCGAGTCGTATCAGGACATGAATGAAGAAATTGATTTTGAGTCCTTCCTTCGGGTTAGTTCAGTAATGCTGAGGTCTTATGTTTACTTTCTAAGATGTTGATGCGTTTGTTCCATTGTTCTTGCAGCAACAACCTATATGTCGCTTTTCTTGAAGAACTAAAGAGAAAAGCCGACTGCCAAAAGGAAAAAAAAAAACTGCCATTTGATGTATAAATGGCCATAGCTTATATGTACTTAACGTAGCATTGCATTTTTATTTATGTCCGTCTATGCTTGTATATGTAGCTTATTTTGTAAATATAAGTGCTTTTTTTATGCATTACATTTACATTGGGCCAGGCATCTAAATGAATCAAATTGACTGGCAGGCACATTTAAATTTGCAAACCCGAGCAGTGGCAAAAACTGGTGGTTCAAAAGGCTCTTCATTTCTGAAGGCAACAACTACGACTGTTCATCATGCTATCAATGAATCAGAGAAAGCTTCCTATGTTTCTCATATTAACAACTATTTGAAGGATGATAAATTTTTGAAGCAGTTTCTTCCTATAGATCCATCAACAAACGCCTTGTTTGACCTTGTAAAAGATGGGGTCCTTCTCTGGTATATGTGCAGGATCCAACCAGTTGATTTTGATATATCCACACACACACGCACACGTTATTTTGTTAAGATGTTTAGTTTTAAGACAATGTTTATGTAATTATGCTGTTATTATTTTTCTGTTTCCTGCAGCAAGCTTATCAATGTTGCTGTTCCCGGGACTATAGATGAGAGAGCAATTAACACAAAACAGGTTCTTAATCCATGGGAGAGGAATGAAAATCATACCCTTTGCCTGAATTCTGCAAAGGCTATTGGGTGCACAGTGGTTAATATAGGCACACAAGATTTAATTGAAGGAAGAGTAAGTTTAATCTTATTTTTGCATCATACATGTCTCTTTCCTTTTGTTTGTAGTTTGACTCCAACACTCTTTTTTTCCCCTTTTATTTTGTTAATTGGTTACCTTGCAGCCGCATCTGTTGCTGGGCTTGATTTCACAAATAATCAAGGTAGATGAAACTTAGTCTTAGGTTATGTACCATGGATTAAGAAACTGGCACCATTGTCAGTGGGTAGACTTAAAGTTTATAATGCTTACACAGTCTTTTTTCTTTGTCCTGCAATATGATGGCAATATCAGCTTCAACTCTTAGCTGATGTCAATCTGAAGAAAACTCCTCAACTTGTGGAACTAGTGGAAGACAGCAAGGTCATAGATTGGTTTAATTGTTCCAGTTGATTTTTAATTTAGGAGCTTAGTGGTTATATATATATATCATAAATTACAATGGTCATAAATAGTTTATTTTATTATAAAATGTTGGCAGGAAGTGGAGGAGCTTATGAATTTAGCACCTGAAAAGGTTTTATTGAAATGGATGAATTTCCACTTGAAGAAAGCGGGATATAAGAAACAGGTTACAAATTTCTCGTCTGACTTAAAGGTAAGAGAAACCTAACCATTTACATCTGACTTACTCCTTCAGAACTAATCACTTCTAGCTAGAAACTAATCTGAATTGGATAACTTTTCAAGCTGATGTCAGTTATTTGTGTTATACATACTTTTTTTTAGAAAATGCTTGCAGTTAGGGAGAGAACCTGATCTTGAGAGGAGTCTGTCTAACTTGTATGGAAGATAATAGTGAGAAACCTGTGGGGCCTTGGGCCTCAGGTTCTTAGATGCTTAATTCAATCCTTCAACTGAGTAAAATGGTAAATAGATGGATTGTGTACCTCTGCGAGAGGAAGGATGACGGGAAACTGGGCACATAGGATGGAGGCGTTCATGAGCATTCCCTTTGTGACCCTGCCTCCTTTCTATGTGGCTTCCTTTGTGTTGGTGTTGGGAGTGAAATGTGAATGGGGTTATCACCTTATTGATAATTTTCATCCCAAGAGCTGTGGGTTGTCTGTTTTGAATTTGCCTCTGATGGGACCCACTGGATATTCACTTCTTTTTATTACATTGGTCAGCCGTTATTGATAATGGGTTGACAATTAAAATGCTTAAGAAACATTGTTTTCTCGGCCATATCCACTGTCCAGTAAATTAAAGGAAAAAATTCATTATGTAATTGCTAACCATACAGACTGCTGCTTCATGATGTGGATAGTCTTTGCCATATGTAACAGATGGTTATATGCTTAGCTAGAATATGGTTTTATCATGAAAACAATTACTACAGCTGATGATGTCTTTGGTCTTCAGGATGGAGAGGCATATGCTTACTTGCTTAATACTCTTGCTCCAGAACATTCTGGCCCTTCTGTCTTGGCTGCACAAGATCCGACAGAAAGAGCAAACATGATTCTTGAGCAGGCAGAGAAATTGGATTGCAAGAGATACCTTACTTCTAAGGACATTGTGGAGGGGTCAGCAAACCTTAATCTTGCATTCGTTGCTGAGATATTCCAGCATAGGTATGGTTAATATTAGGATCTTGCAAATGTGCCAGTTATTTCATTCCATGTTAGTGCTGTAGGGATATTCCTGGTTATCTTCCCAACCCTGGCTATTTTCCGCATTTTCATTTAGGCCTTGGGGAAAGTATTGGTGCTTTTATTTTTATGGGAAATAATACAATCATATTAGGTTTTGTATTTCACTGTTCAATGAGTTGAGTTAACCTTTCTCACATGTTCTGTTAAGTGAGATTCAAGATTTCTTTACGTAAATTAAAATCTCTCGGATACTTCTGCAGGAATGGTCTTACAGACAAAGTTGACAGTGATAAAATGTCCTTTGCTGAGATGATGACAGATGATGCAGAGACATCTCGTGAAGAAAGATGCTTCAGAATGTGGATAAACAGTCTTGGGATTTCTACTCATGTCAATAATGTTTTTGAGGATGTCAGAAATGGGTAAACTTTCCTTTCTTCGGCTTCTTTTTTTTTCCTTCCCCGTTTTCCTTTTCATATTTATTTCACTTTTTATTTTTCTTTCCATTTTTGGCTTTTCCTGCTCAACTAGTGGCTATTGTTTACATTATATGCAGATGGGTTCTATTAGAAGTACTTGATAAGGTTTCACCTACATCTGTCAATTGGAAGCAGGCAACTAAGCCTCCTATAAAGATGCCATTTCGAAAAGTTGAAAACTGCAACCAAGTAATAGAAATTGGGAAAAACCTAAACTTTTCTTTAGTGAATGTTGCTGGGAATGATATTGTACAAGGCAATAAAAAGCTCATAATAGGTCAGTTTGGGTCTTCCCTTTGAGTATTGTAATTTTTTCTTTGTTATGTGTGGCAAAGTTGATATATACTTGTATGACCTGTGCCTTCTCTTGGAATGTGCTTGAAATCTATTTTATTTTTCTTAATAGGGTACTTGGTAAAGGAAGCACTGATTTATACAAAAAGTAACTGAAGTCATAAAAGATGTCTTTTATAGATATTTTTGGATTCCAAGATTTAGGTCCCTTTGCTGTTTGCTCCTTAGGACGATTTCCTCATGTCACTTTGGACTCCCCCACGTTTGGTTTGGCAAACTGCCATTTATCTCCAAATAAACGGAGTTCCAGCATGCCCACCAAAACTACATAAAACGTATCCGAGTGGAAGTTCCAATTCCCCTCCCGAACTAGAAATGAAAATATAAAAGAAAAGGAAAATAAAATAAAAATCTTCCCAAATTTGATTATCCTTTTCCCTTGATCATGTGTAAGTATGCTAAGACAGCTATCTTTACTTCGGGAAAATCATAAATATATTTTGAAATATATGTTTAGTCTTCAAAAAAATTGAGGTCCGCACCCGTATTCACTTATAGACCGTATTACTATCTTGGACTTTCGGATTATTCTCCTAAAATTTTAAACCGAATAATTCCTGCATTTTAACCCATCATATTATTCATGTTTTCTTTGGGTTCTTAGATAACCTTTTTATGCATCCCGATATACTGAACTACGATCTTCAAAAAGGATATCATCATTAAACATATAATCTGCAGTGCTGTGAAGTAGGGAGAGAAGGCTTTTATGGATTTTGAATGAGGTTGCCTTGCCATCTTTTGCTTTTGGCGGACTGCATGTATTGATGCTGTCTTAGCATATATCACTAATGAGAATGAGTTAATTATTGATAAGACATTGTTGGCAATGAATATGATTACTGTTTCCTTACCGCAGAGATTTGATTTAATTAGCAAAATCTGTCTTATTTTAGGCTGAAGAGAGTCTTACTTAACTTGCCCATTTTTGTTTTAAATTGCTTGATTGCAACTTGTATTTACTTCTGTTTTTATGATGGGGTGGGGGATTATACTATTAGTTCACCATTATTTTGTGTAATTTGTCTGAGAAACTCATTTCTATATGTTCATCCTCTCACAGCATATTTGTGGCAGTTGATGAGGTATAATATGCTTCAACTTCTGAAAAACTTGAGATCACACTCCCAAGGCAAACATCACGGTAAAGAAATTACAGATGCTGATATATTAAACTGGGCAAACAATAAAGTAAAGAGTGCTGGAAGAAATTCCCAAATGGAGAGTTTCAAGGTAATTAGTTATATGACACCTAGTTATCAATCTCCCAGCACCATCTGTTTTCATTTTTTTCTACTCTCCTATTAGAAAACTTAGAAGCCCCAGCCCTCGTTTAATGCTGCAGCAAAGCTAATATAATTGGATGCTTTTCTGTATACCACCTTGGAATATAGATTCTAAAAAATTAGCTCATTATCCAATACGCTCAATTTTAGATTTGTTGAGGTTGGTAGCTGATTAATCTCAAAGTTGGTATGTTTTGCATTTTAAATGTAGGGAATAATAGGCTCCAAGAAACGACTTTAGATATTCACCTCATTAACTATGACCATTGGGTGGCTGCATGAAAATTGCTGACTGTCGAAACTTGTTTATATGTGTGAGCTTTTGTGCGTACCTCCATTGTTATTTTGAGTATACATTCATCTTATTCATGACTCATGAGTTTTAAACATCCATGATCATTATTGAATTACTAGTGAAAGAAATGACAAGGATAATATCTATCATAATCCGTGTCACGATTACAAAAATCTTGCTACGGTGATAATTTTTTTAATATTCTGATGTGATTAAATAAAGTGCTTGCAATCCTAAAAGTACTTTCAAACTTAGGAAGAAAGAAAATACTGTTCGCCATTTATTTTAAGAGGCACAATGCACTGGCTGAATCTTTCAAGCATATGTCAAGCTTTCTTACCATGGGAGAATCTGCTTATCAGTGCCTATTTTTACTGGACTAATCATTGAGGCACAGCACTAACTGTAATGTGGGGCTAAAACATTGGTTTTGATATTTATATAATATATATTTTTTTAAACTCTTTATTTTCCATCAGGACAAGAATCTTTCCAGTGGGACCTTTTTCCTTGAACTTCTGAGTGCAGTGGAGCCAAGGGTTGTCAACTGGAGTCTTGTAACCAAGGGGGAGACAGGTATGTTGTCATTTGGACAGGTTAAGGCTAGTTAGATTTGAGCTTACGCCTTTTTAATTTTTCATAAAGCATTTTGTTGGAATTGAAAGATTTCTTATTATTTTGTTATGTGGATGGCAGATGAGGACAAGAAATCAAATGCAACATATATAATCAGTGTTGCTCGAAAACTTGGGTGTTCTATTTTTCTGTTGCCTGAGGACATAATGGAGGTATGTTCGATAATTTAAGTTGAATTGTTGGCCAACAAAAACAAATTAAGTTGAACTTAATTGTCAAATGCAGAGTATTATAAAGAAAACAAGTTTTTCCTGTGTATGTCTAATATGATGATTGACCTAATTGTGGTTTGTCCTCGATATTAACTTATGAGAATCAAATTAGATTAAGTTTTTGAAATACAGAAGTTGGAACCCTTTACAACTTTAAATAATTCATTATCTGGAGATAATAATTATATTGTGTCCACTTCTAAGTTCTAAAAGTGTATTTCTGTTGATAGTGTATCGTGCGAACCCTATTTGATTGCAAGTGACAGTTTGCCCTGCCATGGTTTTGCCCAAAATCAGTTTACCCCCTGACGGTTTAAAGCGTCGTTCAACATTATGGTTTGTTTAACTGACAGTTAACCGCATTTTACAACCAGATTTTGATAAAAAATAAGTGCCTGAGTGTTAAAAGGAACATTTTACTGTTAAATGTCTCTTTCACTCAAGTGTTGCTAGTCTTCTGGGGTTACTGGGGTAATCAAATGTACGTTTTGAATTTGAAAATGTCAACTCAATCCTAGTTGTAGCCTTGAAAGACCATGAAACCGTTCACAGCATAAATAAAACCTTTTGCAATATAAATATTCATCATTCTAGTTATAAAATAGATACTTCTTTTTTTTTTTTTGGGGGGGGGGGGAGACTAGAAGAGTAAGGCGTATACTCTCTTCTCTGACATAAAGGCAAAGACAAAACAGATCACTTATTGATGATTTGATGAGACTCGGGAAAGCTTCATTGGATTATTGTAAGAAATATATATAGTATAAGCTTGTGGTTTGGCTGCAGCTTATTTTGCTGCCTTGACAGGTTAACTCAAAGATGATTCTTACTTTGACTGCGAGCATCATGTACTGGAGCCTCCAGAGATCAGAAGATGAACATCCTAGAGCTTCAGAAGAGGCTGAAAGCGGACCTGATGTGGCTGATGATGTATCCAAGTTAGAAATTGATGCTTCAGAGAATAAGAGCTCTCCAGAAGGAGACAATGAGAATGAAAAGACAGCCTCTTAATTGTTGAAGCCAAAGGCACCCAATGGAATTACAGGGATGAGAAAGAGGAAGGTGCCAACTATTTGTCCTTTGGCTTTCAGGGCAAAAGAAATAGCTTAATTTTTGGGTCCTGTGGCAAGTCACAGAAGAAAGAAGGGTGCATTGTAAATTTCCCTTCTTTAATTTAGAGTTTTTGGTTCTTAGGGATATTCTTTAAATAAATTAAGCGCAATTCCTTGGAATAAAAAAAATGCAGAGGAAACACAATATTCCAATATTCGTCAAATGGGAAAGATTCTTCATGCAACGGAGACTGGCCATGCTATGAGGCCATTTTTGGTTTTTCACAGGCGACATATCTTTCCCTTGAAACGATGTAATATTGATTGTGTTTTTAAAAATTTTGAAAGCATTTTGCATTATTTTCAAAATAGACATATCATGATTTTTTTTTTATTTTTTAAATTTTATTTATAATTTGTATGCTTTCATTTTGAGCATCAAACTAATCCTAGTCTTTGGTACACAAATTTGTTTATGTATAACTACAGCCACTCATGAATTCTGGAGTCCTCTAGCCCATATTTCATTTCACATGCAAATCAATATGTCAATAAAATTTTGGATATTTACAAGCTTATTTTTTAAGTTATTAGACGATTTTTTTTCCATACATGACATAGACATTATTCTTAATTTATAAATAGAATAATTTATTATAAATTTTAATATGTTCGTGTAAGTGTCGAACTGTAGGGTACTTAATATTACATAATTAACACCCAAAGTTAATTGTTTAATGTAGCTAACCATTTTTTGTTTTGCCAATAATGCAGCTAACCATAATTGCGGACAGCACAATGATTGTTTTAAAAACAAAATGGAAGTTATGTCGATAACAAATAAATTGGTAGTCACTCATTCTGTTATGATATTAAGTATTAATACCAATTCTTATTAATTTTAAAAAATTGCAATATAATCCCTATACTTCACCACACCGTATCCAATTTCCAGGATCCTCAGGACAATTCCAACTCAGAAAAAGAAACCAAAAACATACTCCAATCTCTGCGCAGTTAATATCTCTACAATCCTTACCTGTATTGAGTTATATGCCGCTCACTAAAGGGGCAAAAAAAAAAAAAAAAAAAACCACACGCACACAAACACAAAGGCAATACAGATTGGGTCTAACTATCATGCAGAAAGGTAGATTTCTCCTGAGTTATGGTAATCTTCCTTGTATTCTTACAATTTTATCGGATACAGGCAAACTAGACCTTTGTCTAAACCGATTCACATCATCTCGTAATTTGTGAAACACTCGCATTTCACAACATCCTATACGGCTTGGTACTTAAAAGAACCCCAATCAAGGGATGCTCCGAGCATCTGAAGTTACAAAAGCCCAACTTAAGCACTCTGAGCGACCAAACTTATAGATTACCACTGTAACACACTCCACATATTTTATTTTAATCTCATGAAAAAGAACGTCTATCAAAACTTTCCAGAATCTACAGTTCTAGTTCAGTAGAAATTTGAGTAGAGGTTTCAGAAAGAGCTGAGGACGCCACATTCTCAATATCATCTGATTCAGTATTGCCCAATTTTTCTTGCTCTGCAACAAGCATAAGCATTTCTAGACGCTTGTCAAACTGCAATGCGCTCTCATCTCTCTTGTCAAGCTCAGCAGCTTCAACTTCAAGCCATTTCTCTCGTAAATCATCAAGAAGATTGCCTTGATCAGTATTTAGAGCAGCCCCAGGAACACTTGGGGCAGTAGTACGTAGAGAGGAATCTCCAGACGGTGGCGGCAGCGTCAACAGCATTGCTCGGAATTCTTTAGTATCAGCAAATGTTTCAAAATTACAAGCTATGGTATCTAGACAATATTCCCGTATCTTCAGAACACCATACCTGGACACAAGCATAAGACCCCACCATTTTAGCCACAGCCAAAAAAAAAAACAAGAAGAAGAAGATATGCAGCACTCTAATAATGTTGGAGAACGATTTCAACGTTGGGCAATTGGATTAAGATACAAGGACTTATCATGTGGCAAAATAATCAACACATATAATTCATCTGAGCAGAATCTATAATAATGTTCAGTTAGAAATTAAGTTAGAAAAGGAAAACTTATTCTCTTCTAACAAAATGACATACTGTGCAAGGGATGATTCAATGACTATTTCAGAGAATCTATTTTGTTTATGGAATCCCTTTTGTCAACCATGACCTTCTCACGAGATTTTACATTATTTTCTGATGGAAAACCTAGTTGTCCCCCCCCCCTTCCTCTTCTCTGTTCACCGCTCCCTAACTACTCCCACGGCTAACAGATGTTCCCCACAGCCCTTGGATTCTCCTTGAAATTGATTCCAGTCACGCCCCCGCAACCCCTACCGGATTTTCATAAATAAAGGTACATTGTTCTCTTTGATCCTTCTTTTTAAATTTATTTATATTCTTCACCATTGCAAGTCTGAATTTCCAGATTCTACAGTCAGGATTTAATAGATGATTCCACTCCTCTTCATTTGAGGATTCTAATACCTCTGGCAATGCTTTGTCACCTATACAGTTATGCACATATCATTACACTCTGGAGGCTTTTAACTACTCAGTTTTTTCCTGATCTTCCCAATCGCCCAACATTTCACTCCAGAAAACCTGTTGTAGCAGCTTATGACAAGAAAAATTGTTATACAAATACATTCCCCATGAATGACCATTATCATTTGAATGCTCAATGCCGACAATTTATTTATTTTCAAACTGCATGAAATCTGATGGAAGTTTCATAACGTCTGTTCATGAACAGAGTTCAGTGTTTCAACCATTAACCATTATGCCAGATAACTTATTACTATAGGATCTTCAACTTTTCAAGTATAAGTAGAACTAAATAAGCATTAATAGAGGAATATAAAGATAAGTTATTTATATCATTCTTTTTTTTTTTTTTTCCTCCAATTAGAAAAGGAAGGAAATAGCCATACATGTCTGCCACTATCAACCAATGGCAAAGTTCTGCAGGGGAAGCCATTTCCAAGTGTGGCAGCAGTGCATCAGCCACAGCACGCTTTAGAGGAAACAATAAATATCTAGAAGCAGCATCAAACATTTCCTCTGCCTATTTAAAAGAGACAGTAAGCATTAGAAAACAGATGAAAAAGCATTTCAACAGCAACTTGCAGTTATGTTGAATTACCTGATCTGGATCAATATCCTTCAGACCATCAGTATACCTAAAGAACAAAAGAAGACAGAATAAGATGCACGTAGATTAGAGTTACAACTGAAAATCGGGCTACAAATATACTATATTCTCTATGAAACTTCAACATACTCTATTGCGCATATTAGGAACATGCCAAAGACACTGCAGGAGCAGATAATCAACGAGAATAGTATATGACCCACATAATCACTTTATAGACACTCATGCAAGAACTTACTGCATATGACCCCAAATTCGAATAGATTTTACACAATCTTGACATATTATAAGTACCCAAGTATCATAGTTAACAAGTTGTCATATGTATCCTGACTTGTATCAGCATATAATAATTGAATGTGTGTTCATCTTATCACATATTCCAACAGAAGACGCTATACATAGTGGAAGTCCCCACTCTTCAGATAAAAAAAAAATGCATATGCAACATCAAGGAAATTCTCGTTCTGCAGTACTGGACAATAAATCAGGGAATAGGATCGTAAGAAATACTCAGCAGTTAAAAGGCCTCAAGTTACAATGGAGAACTGATTGAAGCCACAGAGAATGAAGAGAAGTTACTGAAATAATCCAAACAAATTTCCCTTCATATTTTAAATTTCAGGCTTTTAGCCAAGGGAAGTGACTCACATATACTCGATCATTTTCTCAAATGATTCCTTGCTCAAATCACGTTCTTCAAGACAAGGAAGGGAATCAACAGATGACTCATCTTTCCCTTCATGGAAGTCCTGTATCCGTGACAATCTTGCTTTGAAGTATTCTGACCTTGATGCTAAAATAACTTGATGGCAACGAAAAACTTTTTTATCAACTCTAATACAAACATCAGCAAGATCATCCTTAGAATTAGCAATCTGCATTGCATCCACCCGAAAAGCTAATTTATCAATTCCATCATCTAGGACATTTTCTTGATTTGAATTTGAAAGGGCAACCCAAAGAATTCGATGCAAGGCTGCAGGAAGCCTGTCTTCTTCAGGAAGGGATAAACCCTGTAAAATGAACCGTTTTTGAGAATTGTCCAAATCTCTCAGTGCTTTATACTCTGCATATTTTTGATGAATTAGTTCTTTCTCCAGAATTGTCTGTAGTGATTCACATTTGCACACTTTACAGATTCTCACAAGATCTTCCATGTCATCTACAGCAATCTCTAATCTGTCAGAATAAAAGAAGTGCAAGAGGCTAAAGAGAGCAGGAAAGGACAATTTCTCCTTGGAGAATCTTACTTCCCTGCGCTCTTTCCAATCACTCTCAAACTTTTTCTTGAAAAATGGTGACCTTGCAATTAATATGACTCTGTGAGCCTCAATAGGCCTTCCTGATACATAGAAAACCACATCCGGAGGAAAGTGGTTGCAATTGGATCCCTGAGTTGATGATATACCTACTCAATCAAAATAAATACTGAGTCTCAGACTACGTCTTCTTACGACATCATTGTTGAAAAAATACTTCCAAAGAAATTCACTTAATCTAAGCAGTGATACTTCCATGGAACTGCTTATAAGAAATCTCTTGAAATCAATGAAGCATTAGAAAGCTCATCATGGAAAAACTGCTGGAACCTAGGCAAGACAACTTTGATCCATTTTCCTGAGATAAAGCGAACACATGCCTAAGCTTATGGAAAGAACAATAGGATTGTAGGAAGCAAGGATAAAGTCATATTTTGCCCAAGTAAAAGATCAACCAAACTTTTATGTTGTTTCAATAAAACCTACTCTGAAAGTTTTGCATTTAGTGATCTTTGGTTACTTAAATACACCTCGTACTGCAAAACAAAAGTTAATGTCAACATCTTGCACTTTTCACCAACACAGTTCACCTTATGATCATTCATGTTAGAACTTTTCGCTACTTGCACAATCCAAAACCAGAGGGCAACCGTTGACTAATTTAGAGCAAATTAAAAAAGGAAAAATTATATAGTAATTGCAATAAAAAGAGGCAGCTCAATTTGTTAGCAAAATTTAGTAGTTATTGGAATTTTTTGGCCCGAAGTACTTGGATTAAAAAGTATACAATTTAAAAAAAAAAAATCTTGACATATAAGTTCCAATTATTCATTCTAGTTAAATCAAAATTAATAGGCGACTTCAGACTGCCGTTTAATATGAAAATCATCATTGATATTTAAAAGTTGGGTGATCATTACTTAATTCAACTTTTCTCTTTCCACATATTCCCCGCGGCTCGCTTCTTTACCTCTCTTAAAGACAGTGCTAAAACTAATCTTAATCATCGAGCAGACCAAATAAAATAACCATTTTTGTTGTGGTTTGAATACCATACTACACTATATAAATAATGCAACGCTTCAAAATGGAACTGAATCCATCATAATGAATAATTCATTCACCCTCTGAATAGAACAAGGATAATGCATAACAAACTAACCAGAAATTTGAAATTGAGAATCAGCAAGCTCCAAGTAGGCCCTATTAGCGGCACAACCCAAGAAAGTATCTCTCAGCGCCGCCTGCAAGGGACCCAGAGGCGGCGGTCTTGCCTCAAATGCTTTCAACAACTTCCTGACCTTCAAATTAAGGGCGGCATAGTGGCAACGGTCACCGTCGAATGTGTGCTCAGAGCAGATGGCACCACTCTCGAGCAACATGCGAGCAGCATCGAGGTGACCGGCAAGGCAAGCATAGTAGAGAGCAACAGAGTCCCACTGGTCCCGAGCATTGACGTTGACTCCGGACTCGAGGAGGTAACGGAGGCGGTCAACATCGCCGGCGCGAGAGGCGGCGAAAGCATCACCGTTGGGGACCTTCTTGAGAGGGATGGAGGAGCCGAAATCGGAGGGGTCAAGGTCGATGCCGTCGAGGTCAGAGTCGATGGTCAAGGAATTGTTGCGCTGCGCAGGGGACATTGGATTTTGACGAAGCTGTTGAGGGTTCTGTACTTCTGTGTGCGACATTGTCACATTCAGATAGTCAGATAGATAGATAGATATAGTGCTACTGCTAGACGCAACACACACGGGGTTCAAGAATCTGCCGAAAAAATGAGGTCAGGAGAATGGCACTCCAATTATTTGTTCGCCATCCTTGTTGGCCAAACTGAAATACCACCCATAACCTTGATTCGTAGATTGAGATTTTATAAGAACAGTATTAATATAAATAAATATGATAAATAAAGTACTCTTCCGGTCCTTATTATAAGACCCAATTTGACTTTTTATTTGGTCCTAATTATAAGACCCAATCTATTTTGTTTCTTATATTTATGCATTTTTTTCCAAGATAATCCTTCTAATAATGATAGTTTTAGCCAATATACTTAATTAGTATGGATATTTTAAGAATGACAACATTTATTTATTATAAATAACCAACTTAACTTACTTCCTTAATCTCCTCAAATAAGTCAATTGGGTCTTATAATTAGGACCGGAGGAGTAGATTGAGATTTTATATTTAGAATCAAAATAAAAATTAAAAAATTTTTTATAATAAATATATAAGGTAATATAATCTAAGTGATTTGTAGCACGTTTTTTTATGGTAATAAATACTGATAAAATTTTTTAAATTTATTTTTATTAAATTTTTTTCTCTTTTATATTTACAAATTATTCTTCTATCTTTTTGTCAATAAATCATGAAAAAATTGGTAAAAAATCCCTGTTTGAAAATTTAATTAGCTAAAAGGATCTGAATTTGAGCACGTGCAAGTATGATCTGTGAGTGCAACGTATCTTTTGTTGTATGTAAATGACTTCCATATTGATAACATCTCTTTTTTTTAATAAGAATTAAAAGAAGGGTAAAATTAAAAAAAAGCATTAGAGTGATTGAAACTTTTAAATCATTTAAGACAAAATATAAAAGAAAAACAAAGCTTTTTTTTTTTTTAAAAAAAAGAGTTATAGATTAGAAGAATTTGAATTTTGGACGTTTATTTTCGATTTGTTGAAGTTTTTTCACTCAAGTGACCGACACTTTTCGCTTTTGTAGATTCTGTTTAAGGTGGTGCTTGGAATTAAAAAAAAAACACTTTTAAAGATAAAACTCTTTTCACACATTATTTTCAGATTTTAATATAAGAGCTAATTTGACTTTTAATTTTGTTCTAAATATATAAGACTGTAATTTATTTTATTTCTCATATTTATTTATGTTTTTTAAGGTAATCCTTATAGTAATTGCACACGTTAAATATTTAATCAAATGAAAATTAATTAGCAAGGATATTTTAAATAAGACAATATATATTTATTACAAATAACTAACTTAATTAATTTCTTTAATCTACTCTAATTACTCAACTAATTCTTATATTAAAAACAGAAAATAATATTTACTTCGTATATTGTGAAATTACTTTTAAAACAATGTTCGATTTTTATCTAAACACTTCATAAATCTGAGATTACACGATTGATTCCTCGCACGTATCATGCCATGGAGAAAAAAGTTTTTCTTCGATTTCATTTTTACTACTTTAGATTTGTAAGTGCTCAAGCAAAGTAAAAGCAGAGATTTATTCAAAAAGATAAAAAGAAAAAATAGGGAGAAAAAACAAATCGTTTCTAGTAGTATGATTGGTGAGATTCTGAGGAGTTTCGCCGAGATTTTTTCAACATGACTGTTAGAATAAATTTAATTTCTACACAGCAATTTTATAATTTGGTAAAAAGAAAAAGGGTTATGATGGTAAATGCTTAAAAAACCCTTAATCATACCCTCTCCAATCACTCGGAAATAGGTTCCAATTGATAGTTAACTGCATTTTCGTGGTAACTCATTTCAACTTATTTACATTGTATTAAGCTTTGACAATGCCTTCGTAAATCCTTTTCTTTTCTTTATGCCATAGCAAATAGATTTAAGGGAATGAAACTCATGCATTATAATCCCGCTACTTCAAAGGTATTCTGTTCCTTATTTCACTACTACAATGGTGATAGAGGAGATAAACAAATAAGGCTGAAACGAACAAGGAAATAATCATGTTTAATGCTTCCGTACTTCATTAGTTTACATATTTCACGTATATATTCTTAGATTTCAAGTTCATAGGCACAAGATGCCTCGAGAGAAAGTCATTGACACAAGGAAACTTTTATCATATAATTCATGGAAAAGCTCATGCTTAAAATTGCAGAACTAGAAGATCAACGAAATCCCACGATTTCTTGATCAAATCTGCGCCGTAAATTAACAACAGATTATGATGTATCCATTCTTCATTTACATTCTCACCTACAAGTATCCCCTGAAACAGCAGGTTCCATGCACTTGGATAGGAACTTTCATTCAGACGAATTCATAGAAGGGCGTGAACTCAACATCCACCTCCATGAGACAGAGACAGTGCTAGCACTAGGACAGTTTACTATTTCAGATCAACTTAGACCTAGGAAATTGCTATTTTTCTTCAACTTGAACTGAATTTAACCGTCTCAACCTCTCATCAAGTTCCTTCATCACTTCAGGTTCTTGTTTCTTCCTTTCCTTTGATATGGTGTTCGTTGTCATGGAGCCTATCTTATCAAATGCTACCTGTAAGTACAGGAATAAATAAGAAAAAAGCTTCAAAACGCTTCAGCTTAATCCAGGAGAAGCAAATGAGTTCTGCAATTGAGCATTAGAATAGAGCAAAGCAAATGCCTTGGTGGAACTCATACATTATGATGGTACGTTTGCAACTAATTTTCAATATTTTTAAACACAAGTTGGGGTACAGATTTCCCAAACAGAAGTAAAGTTGAGATACTCTGCTTGGCACACTCGTTTTGCAATAGATCTTTTCCAATCTGTTGAAATCAAATATAAATGGTCTAAATTTCATATAACTTCTTTTATTTTAACCATCATGTTTTCCTTCTGTATATTGCTTCATTTAAAATAATAAATATATTCCTTTATTAAAAAATACACGCAATCAGTCTACATCTGAATCATTAGGACATTGCTGTGATGTTTTGCAGCAGCACAGAAACCATCTCTACAGAAATGACAGAACTTACGATCCATACCCGAATAATTTCATACACGTAAGAGCTAGGACCTGCTTTCAAGATGAATGTGAATCTTCGTATATCTCTGTGATTGGTCATGTTTGACTAGAACAATTTAGGTCTTACTATTATGCTACTTTAATTCAATTTTTGAAGTTAGCAGTAATAAGTTACGGACCATCATAATCAAATTTAATCATCATTATTTTATTAAGTCATATCCAGGGATTTGATTGTTACCGGAACATAATAACATCGTACAATTCATATAATCAACTCCACTTAAAGGCTTATTATTGTGTCATTTTTATGGGAATAAAACTAGAGATGTAGAGAGAAATTGAGAAAAAGGAATTCTTACTGTCAGTAAATCATCTGGATCAAATAGATGATGGGTTGTCCTCTGCAGAATATCAATTACCTCACCAACGTGATGTGTAAGAAGCAACTCATCTTCCTTCATCTACAATTGGAGGTTTCAAATGTCAGATCTCAACCACCCCTTCTTTCACAGCATATTTGGCCATATGTTTCTGTGCCACGGAGAGAGAGAGAGGGAGAGGAGATAGACCTAAAACACAATACAAAGAACATAGAGGCGAGATAGTGTTGATACCTTAAAGATTGCCAAAGCCACGTTAAACATAATCTTTGCCCCCTCGTAGAACATGACATCCCACACGCGCAAAGTTGTCTGATATCCCACGGAAGAAATATTAGTAAGGGGGAAATATTGAAAAGGTGGGAGGGAAAAGGGGAAAGAAATCCTACTTTGGTCCCGAAAAATAGGTTGATCATATCTTTCAATGTAAATCCTTTCATAGTTAAAATGGTTGCAATATTGCCTTTTTTGATTCAGTCTCCATCCAAAAATTAATAGTCTACCCTAGAGGTCACTACACTGAAGTTAGCCAACTATGAGGTTTGATGTTTCATTTTGGATGGAGATGGGATGAAAGGATGGCATTGCAAACAATTCAATGATTGAGGGACTAAATTGATAGAAATTATTTATGGAGGAACAAAATGAAAGTCCACTAATTTATCAATGACCAAGACAAGGTTTTTCCTGATAATTAATTGCAACATCAGTCTAACCTCTGAAGGTAAACTCTTCGAAAAGAGGCAAAGGAACCACTCAGTGGCAACTAGGGAGACATCAAACTCCAAAGCTTCCAAATGAGCCGTTATCCTGCATTTTACTTTCTCCATTTTTCAGAAGATGCCGAAGAAGCAAACAAATGGCAGTGTTAAGTCATCAAATGAAAATACCTTGGGCACTTTTTAGCAAGTAAATCTTTAAACACTCTTTGTTCAACATGGCATCCTGATAAGTTGTTTGTGTAGCAGTCATTAACTAAGACATTTTCCAATAGGACTGCCAGCATCCAAAATGCATCCTCTTCTGTCTTCATGACAAGCAACAATAATGCTGCAACGTAATTTAACCCCTGGAAGAATATTACATGAGTCAATAACTACGAAACAATGTTTTCAGGCATCTATGCAACATCTGTGATCAGAGAAAAACATGCATTATTCATATCTAAAAGCCAAAATAGTTAATTTAAACAAAAGAAACTTTGACATGCTCCATCTTTATTAGCAGTACAAAATGAGACTAACTATCAAAGCATATATTTCGTTTCATGATTAAGACTTCAAAGAAAGCCAGATATAGTTAGAGAACACAGGACAGTGAAGCAAAGTAGCAAACTAACCTGACAATATCCAACATCAGAATCACGAAAGGAATAGCCAACAAGAACACGCCTAAGAGCAGCATGTCCTTCTGTAGTGTCCAACCACGGGTGACCAGGGAAGGTTCGTGGCAGGTCCTGTTAGTAGGCATGAAGAATGATTCTAAGAAGCAGAAGAAATTTACTAATCACATTCATATGGATACTGGTGCATACCATTCTCAAATAATCATATCAATAACCTATAAAGATGTATGCAGTTACATTTGATAACTATGATGGTAATCCATTTTGCAAACCCATCTCATATTTTTAAAGTATCAATGCTTGAGACATCATCATAGATCTCACAAATAAGAATCCGCTATTACAGGCATGGCAGGGCCACTCACATGATCGATCTGTCTGGTGGCGGCGGTGACCTTCCCCTCCACTGCTTTGGTCAAATCATCGTAATAACTCTCAGGCACGGTGGACTTTTTCTTGGCAGCCCCCGACAAGGAAAACCACACCTTAGGCCGTAGACTTGGGGGAATCCCTTTCCTAATCAACTTCTTCAGAGTGATGGCATTAACAAGTGTAGAGAATTTCAAGGAACTCTTAAGGGCACTGCCTTCGCCTATGGTAGTATTCAAATACCAATTTGCACCTTTGTTGGCTTCCAATGCCCACCATACCCTTCCCTGTTGCCTCACTTTTTCTCGTACCTCATTCAACACATTGACATCATCTACACTCCCTTCTACCGTGAAATCATATATGTCTTGGAATTTTACAGTGAGATTCGCTCTTCTGGAATAGACGCTGGGCCTCAAAATCGGTATTTGGGATTGGTATTCGACGGCAAGGTCTATTTTGCTTTGAGTTCCATACATTTTCTTTTTCCCTTGGGGCTATATCGACAGATCAAGAAATATCAGAGGAAAAGAAACAGAGTTGACCCTTGAATTGGAAGAGACCTCGTCAGAGAAAGAGGAAATCACACCATTCTAAAACCAGTAAACGGTCAAATTTCGAACCCGAAGGACTGAAAATTGGGTGCGAAGAAGCTGAAAAATTCCCCCCCGAACATAGCGCGATTCAGAATTTGTAGGCAATTAAAATGAAAATCTTACTTTTTTTGAAGCCATGAAAGACCATTTTGCGCCATTAGAGCAAGAGCTCGAAACTCCCACGAGTGAGCTCATTGATTATTCAAGACTCGCTAACAAATATGAACGGAAAAAGCGGGTTTTTTCCAATATACGAATATAGAAAACGGCGAAATGTAAAAAGAAAATTGACAAAACTAGGTTGGGGAAAAAAAGGACCCAGAAGCAGATTAAAAGATTAAAAAAGAGCTCGCTCCCTGGAGGCCGAAACGGTTTCTAAATGTGGAATCAGAATCTCTAACGAAGAAAGAATGGATTGTGAGAAGAGCGTCAAAGACATAGGATCCGTTTAGATAAGAGATTAGAAAAATAACTTATTAAAAGAATAGCTCATGGAGAAATAAAATTAGATAAAAACTAAATTAAATAATTTGAATTGTGTTTGAGTTGGAATTCAGAAAAGTTAGTTTACAAAAGGGTGTTTTTGGATGAAACCAAACCGTGGTTTGGAAAAGTGATTCTAGAGAATAGATTCTGGGGAGAATACATTCTGTGAAAAATAGATTTTGTAAAAAAGTGATTCTGAGAAGTGAGAGTGTTTGGATAGTTGTTATCAGAAGCACTTTTTATATATACAAATTACTAAAAAAAAGACATAAGTTAATATGATAATTACAGAAAAATAGATTTTATGATATATTTTAATTTGAAAGAATAAAATTGTTAATAATATATTTTTTACCAGCATAATTAATAATACATAAGATAATATAATTAATAAATAATTAATATGTATATATATTTATAAAATATAAGATTAAATATGTTTATAAAAAAATATGTTTATAAAAAAAATAACAAAATACATATCATATAGGCTCTCACACTCTCCCTTTTTTCTCCAAAAGCAAAATTTTTTTGCTTTTTCCAAAACCATGGTTTTGACCCAAAACCATGGTTTTGGTTTTTGGAGGGGTTGTTTGGGTGATTTATTCCTCAAACCATGGTTTGGGTCCCCAAACCATGGTTTGGGGTGTCACCCAAACACACCCAAAATGAAATTGGTAAAAAGTTGTTTGGATTATGATTGAGTAAAAGTAAGTTTGGTTGTAAAATATTGTAAAATGACCCAAATAGATATGAGTTTTAATAAATAATAAAACATGATTAAAAAAATAATTTCAAATAATACAATGAAATTAAAATAATTTAATATGAAGAAGTTATAAAAAATATTTTAAATATAAAGTAAAACATGAAAAATAAAAGTATATTTTTAGGAGTATATTTAAAAATAAAAGTATATTTCTAACTTATTTATTACTTTTAATTAATTTCAACTGATTTTTTATTATCTACAAATTAGTTATTTGAGACTTATAATAAGAACCAAAAGAGGTAATAAATTTCTTAACTTTCTCTCTTTCCATATTTCAAAAGCTATAAATCATAAACAATAAGTCATTAACTGTTAATTTTAGCTTATAACTTATTGTAGCTTTTCATACAAAAGTCAAATTGTCCAATCGCTCAACCAAACGGTATCAAAATTTGAAATCGAGTTTTTCTGACTTATAAGCTATTTATTGGCCCTGAAACGCTGTGCCAAACCAGTTGATAGACTCGTGGGTGTGGCGAAAGAAAAAAAAAAAAGAACAGAAGAACAAAGAAAAGAGGGCTAACATGCATACGAGAGTCTCAAGTACTAGCTTACTCTTAAAAACTTATTTAATTTTTATTTTGATCTAATTATAAGAACTAAATCCACTTTATTTCTTATATTTATACATTTTTTTCAATATAGTCCTTCTAATAATGGTAATTCTAGCCAATACAGTTGATTAGCAAGAATATTTTAGAAAAGATAATACCTATTTATTACAAATAACTAACTTAACTTATTTTCTTAATCTTTTCAAATCAGTCAACTAGCTCTTATAATTAGGACTGAAAGTAATATTATTTTATCTACGTTCAGCATGTTAAAATATTTTTTGGTATCATAAAATATTTTTTAAGTATATCCAGTATTTGAGTTTTTTTTTGGGTTTGTGTTAAGTGTATCAAAAAATATTTTTAGACGTTAGACACATCCAAAAAAATATATTTTGACATGTTAGATGTACCAAAACTGGATGCCTAAATATGTTCTGTGATTCAAAAGAAAAAGCTTCTTGGGAGTCATCTCCATTAACAGAATTCGAACGTTTTTTTTTTTTTTTGACCAGAACAAAATTCGAACTTGCAGGGTGGGACCTTGATGACATTTATAGCCCGATAAAGAAATATATTAATGATAGCCAAACCCCGTGTTTGTGAGACACTTAATAATAACACTATAAACTTTATTCAAATGCTCTTGTTATCTAATTTTACTTGCGAATCCATTTACACACACACACACATATGGCCAAAACATATATTAATTCATGTTATATTCAGTTCAACTTGTTATTTATTGTTAATTTTTTTGTTTGAATTAGCTTAATTGGAAGAGTAACATCTTCCTGTGAGTTTGATACATGAAATACTTTTATTATTGTGATCCAATTTGCTTGTCATTTAGATAAATTAGAATTGCAAAGACTTATTGGCATATAATAATGTGTTTAGTATAACCATAATTTTGAATTGATAATTGATAATTTTTGGACCATTTTTTCTAGACAATAAGTTTATAAGAGAAAATTGATAATTACATATTTTTAACATAATTTTAAGTGGGAAAATTAAATATTTTAGAATTTAAAAAATTTAAAAAGATGGCAAAAAAAATTATAAGTTAAAAAAAAAGTCTTTGGAGAATGCTATGAAGGCTCTGTGACATATTATTGAGTCTTCATGATCGTAAAATAGCTACAGGCGAAAATTCTCTTTCCATCGCTGCCGTTTCTAAGAAGGATGGATCAAATGTGCTAATTAAATCAACAATTACTTATTAGCACCAATATTTGTTTATGTTAAGGTGGACCAGCATCCCAAAATATTTTTTTCAAATACATTTAATGACCTAAAACATTTTTTGGTGCATTCACTACCAAGACAAACAAAATATTTTAGAGTGTTGGAAACATCTGAAAAATATTTTCGGGATACTGGATGTACCATAAAATATTTTAGGGTGTTGGATACACAGAAAAAAAATTTTGGAGTGTCACGTGCACCAAAAAATACTACACGGGAGGCTTTTAAAAAAATATTTAAAGATACTAAATGTATTATAAAATATTTTAGGATACTAAATATGTCAGAGAAAATACTTTGCAGTGCATACACCCTATTTGTTTTCTTCAATTAGCAGTGCGCGACAATGAATTCACATCTTACACAGGAATGGAATATTTATATGGGGGCAAATAAAAATTTATGTATACTAAAAGTACAATTTTAAATAAATAAGTAATTGACAATATTAAACGCTAACATTTATTTTATTATTTATTTTGATTCTTGATTAAACAAATTTGTTATACTTTTTTCTGCTAATGAATTATTTTACAGTAAGTACCTTCCAATCCCAATATAAACATGCATGGCTTATCTTATCTTATCTCCTGACAGCGACCGACAAATCAAAGCTTGAATGGCAGAGATGAAGGTCCCCACAACCATCAATGATTCAATAATTACATTTCATATGGAACAGTGTTATTAGTACCAATCACAGCCCAACAGTGATCTCAATTATTTATTGGGGACCCCCAAATCAAAAACAAACCTACTTTCGCACAGCCCAGACCAAGCTTTTGCTTCTTCTCCTTTCATTCGTCCTTCTCCGCTCTTTTTCTGCGATGGAAAAACATGCAGTTGCCTTTTCCAGAATTGAGGCGCATAACAGTGAAACGCTGCAACAAGTTGAAATGCCTTCTAAAGAACGTTGTAGTTGGAATGCTTCCACAACTACAACTCATTGAGTTATCAGAGGCTGCACGAACGGAGGAGCTCTTTTCACATAGCAGTGATGAAGCCAGTGCCAGTACGCAAGAACTTGTGCTTCCAAATCTGGAAATATTGAGACTTTCAAGATTGCCTAGCCTCACTCACTTCTGCAAAGGACTCAAGCTAAATGCTCCACAACTCAAACAAGTCCAAATAAATGAATGTCCAAAATTGGACTTCTCCTCCCAGCAAGCCGCTACCACCCAAAGCACAGGTATTTCGCTATTTATCTTGCTCCCACAATTTCCTTATTTACACATAATAGTACATTAAAAATATATACCAATGGTCAAATATTACAAAATTTACCCTATTGATTAACCATGTTTTTAAAAATAAAACAGGTTTTTTTTTTTTAAAAAAAGTGAACAATGTTATTCGCTCAAAACCATTCCTCTTTTGGTTTTGATGTTGTGTACTATGTTACCCTTCAAAATTATGCATACTTTAGATGTCGCTTGGAATTCTAAATTTAGAAAGGTTCTGAGTATGCTGGCTGTAATCTTAAATTCCTGACGTAATTGTGCTGATATGCATTATTTGTTACGCTAAATATGTTTAAAGCTTTGGATGGGAAAACATGTAAGTTGAGGTATGAATTTGTGTTCAGATACAGATGAGTCATGTGATGGAGAGCAATAAAGGAAAATAGCAGATGGAAGCTAGCAGCGGAAAGAATTATATTATGCGTATGCTGATGCATGTTCTTAACTCGTTAGAGAGTTTTGCTTGGACGGCAAGACCTTGTGATTTGAAAATCAAAGCTACTGAGGCCTTTAATAAAGCGTATATGGCAAAAGTGGGGAATTTGCCAGTGCTGTGATTCATAAATATGAATGTGTTTTGTATTGTATTCAGAGTATTACAAGATGGATGGTATTGATTTTGGGACATTTCATGGGGATGAGACCCTAAACCTTATTGTGGTTGATCATATGTGAATCCCCCTCACTCGTTGATCATAAATATTGTGAAGGAGGGAGTCTTGGAGATCAAATGACTATGAGCTGTTACTAATTAGCTAAGTTCAACAAACTCTTAGGCATCATTAATAATCAAATGATGTATATCTTACTTTGTCGACGATGGTTCTTTTACACTAACAAGAGATCATGAGTAACAATGCAAAATCTTGGAGCAAACACACCCATCAGATGTTGAACCAGAGACAAGAAATAAATATGATACTTAAGATAGCACGAAAACCCAGTAGAAAACAATTAAGGTGGTTGGGCTTAACTAGAGAGAGACTGAAACATTGGATCACCTCATTTTCTGGTGGGAGAATTGCATAAGGAAGCCTTTAAAATTTATGTGTGTGTGTGTGAATGCATCCCTCCCTCATTAATTCACATACATCTATTTTGTTCTTCATATCACAAACATAAATTTTTGTATTTAGCATCAGTTTTAATTAATATATTTTTTTTACCTACTAAACATCTCATCATCAGAATCCAAAATCTCTTCACTCGTGTAGGTGTGTGTGTTTCAGGTTGTTAATGTCTTATTTAAGAAAACAACTGATAATGTACATATGTACTTTAATTTATAATAAGTATGAACCCAGCAAATATGCCAGAGGCTAGTATCTGCCTGTGTAATGAAACACTGAAACCAGAAGACAGAACCATTATCAAAGAGGCAATAACTACTCATGAAGCAGCACATTGTACATACATACCTTATGCACCATATACGCTTAACTCTAATTTTATTTGTAAGGAAAAAAAAAGAAATCTATTTTGATTCTATTTATTTATAAATTACGTCATTAAATTCTTTATATTTTCAGATAGAGTGTATATAAGTAAGGTGAAGTTGAAAAATTATTAAATTTTAAGACAAAATTAATAAGGTTCAAGGTATTATTGATTCTGGAAAAACATGTTGCGAGTACTTATAAATATAACTAGAAGAGTACATTATTAATTTGAGAACGTAGAAAATTATGGAAAGCCTTTGATGTTATTAGGTGACGAAGTAGATAGATGCATTAATATCAAGCCACTTGATATGTATCTCTTGTTGAAGCAGCTTTTATCGCACATCGATTATATGTACATGTTTGTTCAAATTCTGATCCGCAACTCTTTTCCTTCTTATTACATCTTTTTCTTGAAATCATCTCTCTCGTTCTCAAGTACTTTTCCAGCGTGTCTCCTCCGATCTTCCACCTTATGCAAGTAAAGTTTTTTTTGTTGGTATTTTTATTTAATTTTTTGTATTTTCACCCTTTTTTTCCTGCTTTGATGAAATTTAATCTATAGCAAATTTGTGTGGAGATTGGAGATGGCATAAGTGTTGATTTATTGAAAATTTTGTTTGCATGCAAAATTTTGCAGTAAGCTTAATAGGAATAAGCACTGACGATAGAATGAAATGGTATGTCATAATTTTGTTTAATCAATCAACATGAGTATTGTAAAATTTGAATGGGGTAGCATTGTCATTTAAAACCGAATTTGTAGCAAGATATATTGTTGATAAGTCATTAATAATATGATATGATACAAAATCTGCAATGTAATGTATGAAAGGGTGTGGCCTACCTACCAATGGAAGCTGGGGTTGAAAGGGTTTGGAGTTGAACAAGAACAGTCCATCATAAATAATAAATAACAAGAAAATGACAGAAAAGCAATAAAAAAAAAAAGATTAAATCCATGACAAATTCTTTAGTCCTTATGATACATAGTAACATAGGATGTCCATATCTATTTATACAATTTTGTTAGGTAATACTCCTCCGGTCATTAATATAGGACCTAATTGTTGAGTTAGTTTTAGTCCTAAATATAAGACCCATTTCTCATATTTACTAATTTTCTCTAAGTTACCTTTATGGATACTTCCTCAACTATAATCAAGTAGAAGAGGGAGATGGGGTATTAAGAAAGATGATTATGATGTTTTAAGAAAAATTTGTCATATATCTTATAATTAACTAACTTACCTAACTTTTTTAATCTAATCAAATTAGTTAAATAGGTCTTATATTAAGAACCGGAGGAGTACTATTTATAAAGGATAACCACACTTCCTTATACTTTAATTTGCGACATAGTTAAGGCCGACATCTTGGGAACATTAAGTTTTTAGCCCTTATTAATCCATTTATCCTTTATATCATTGTTTGACTCAAGCAGAGGTGCGTGCTCTACCAAATAAATTTTGATACAAACAAGTGCATATTTCTCACTGATGTTGGAACAAAACTTAAAATAGAGACAGTATTCTAGCTGTTTACCAATGGAAGCAAAAGATAGCTTTCTTTAATTATTGAATTTCAAACAATTACTATTAAGTTAACTTAAGAAAAATGAAAAATCAGGCTTTTTGCCCTTATAATTTTCATTCAACTATATATATAAGTATATTTTTAATATTATTATCTGGCTAATCTGATTCGGATTCTCACTCAACTACATTTAAGAAAACTAAATAGACTAAAATTTCAAATGGCTAAAAACTATAGCGATTGACTTGCAGTGAATAAAGATTTAGCTATTGAGTTTTAAATAGGATTTACTCTCTGTGCCATGCATGGCAAGCATTCACTACAATATATTCATCATGTGTCACATCATTTCAAAAATAAATTAGTTAATCTAAACAATGTGCACAAAACAAAATCCCTTGCCTTGCAAAACAAACAGCATCAAACAAAAAAATGACAAGCCTTTATTACATGAAACAAATAAAAAATGCAGCTTAATATGAAGTGCTAACATTCTAAAACAATTCCCTATAAACAACGTTGATAATTATATCTTAGGTTAAAAATAAAAAAAAAAGCTTAAAAATATAAAAATCATTTGAAAAAAACATGTAAAAATATCTTAAATTATTTTATAAAATAATTCAATGTGAGATTATTTTATCCATAATAATCAATGGGTTACATTATCGGCCCATGACATAAAGAAAGAAATTCTAAAATGCCCTGGCCTCAACCCACAATGCAAGTGAGTAACTATATTAACAGATGAGCTACCAATAAGAGTTGGTCTAGTTGGTAAGTAGTCAGCTCATAACCCATAAGGTCGTGAGTTCGAATCCCGCTGCCGATGTGGGGACCTTATTGGTGGGCGATCTGTAAGTACCTCTATAAATGCTCTCTGAGCTTTGAGGCATACCTTGGCCCTGGTGAGCCCCCGGGACTCAACTTACCTAAACTTTATCATTACCAAAAAAAAAAAAAACAGATGAGCTACAAGACTAATCAAACTACAATATTCATTTATCATATTTTTGACACAACATCCCTTATAACCGTTTTGTCATAAAAAAAAAATTCAAGCTAATGTGAAATACTGAGCAATACCACCACTGCATTCTTCATCTTCACAAGGTTCTACATTGCTCAAGTTAATGCCTATAATTTTTGAATCATTAAGGTTCAATATTTTGCATTTATTATAATACCAATCCAAGTTAATAGTGGAAAATCACATTTTTCCTGGACAACAATAGCAGATAAAATAAAATAAATGGATAGCAAAAAAAAAAAAGATAAAATAAAATAAATGAAAATATAACGTCTTTAGCATATGGCCCTGTTTTTATACAGTTGCACGAAACAGTATCAAATCATTTTTACTAACTAAAATAACTCAATAAAAGGAAGAACAAAAGTGTTAATATGTATTAAATCCTTATGATGATTCACAACTTGTCCAAACCTGCAACACATCACAAGATTTTCAGAGCTAAGCAAATCCTGCAAGATAAGTCTATTGATTTTCTGCCCTTGAAAATACCAGAACTTCTGTATTCCCAAAGTTGACCCCCTTTCAAGAAACTTCTGCCAACCATCTTACTTTGTAAGTTCATAAAATAAAGATCTGGACAATAACACGAAAATATGTTAGATAAACAAGAAACCCAATAGATTTACCATAAAAATAGAGTAACTTACCTTAACTTTGTCTAACCCTCCAAGCTTCTTTTTGCACCTTTTACTGCAATTTAAAATACTGATAAGCAACTTTATAGAACACAAGATGGTTAACTTCTGTCAGTATCCTTTCAAATGGTATCCTTGACAGTTCCATGTACAATGGCAGATAAAGTATATGCTTAATTTAAGACTTGGTTAATGTTGTAAGCATGAAAATAAGATATCTCTACACTCTTTACATTCAGAAGCAGTAACTCAGGGTACAGACTAAGAGTAATGTGTTTTAATCCCACTATTTTGACAGCAAGTAATATGATTTCTATTAATACTATTGCATTATCTGCTATATATCTTGAGAATGAAATGATTAGCAATCAAGATGATCAATTGAATACTAAAGCATACCATGTTAGTTATTATGTTAAAATATCATGATATCCTAATTGTTAGTCAAGATGACCAACTGAAAACTAAAGTATACCTCGTTTTGGATAGAATTGGTGTTCAGTTGCAAAATTCTTCAAAAATATGGCAGAAATTGACTTGCCATAGAACATGTAACTTAATCCATAAAGTAAAATAACAAAATAAGAATATAAGGACAGATCTCAAATAAACTATATGAGAGCTAGGACGTAAAATCCAATCATATAAACTGCAAATAAGTTTCCATTCTACAGAAATAATAAAAAGAGTAAGACATGTAATAACGAAAAAAAGAGAAGAAAGCTTGTTCTAATAACAAAAAGAGAAAGACATGGATAACAATCAATGAGTGAGTTTGCTCTTGATGTTTAGAATACCTCAACAAATTCCGACAAAACACCGCAGGGCCTAATTCAAGAACCAGGTCTCAAATGTAATTTATATGTCAGCAAAAGTTCATCAGTTCATGTGTCCTCTGGTCTACCACTATTGAATATCTCTTGGTCGTTTTCTCAAGCACTTGGTGTGCATCTTCAAGCAAACCTTTTTTCTTTCCGTGATGACTGGTGAATTGTGGGGGCAAAAATCAACAATCAGCATCATCAGTGAGAATTAAATTAAATTCCAGTAGTAGCAAGAAGCAATATAAATGCCTGACATGCGAAACTCTTGAGTATCATGATGCTGACCGTGTTACATTTTCCAATAGAAAATCCATCTTTGAATAAATTTAGTAAGTAGGACACCTCAAGTTCTGCATGATAGCAAACCACTTTGAATAAAAATAGGTGGAGAAATAGTAAGCGTTAAAATTGGGTGAAACGAAAATAAATACCAAAATAAGATGTTTGAAGCAACTCATGAAGAGTATATGCACATGAGAATATAACTACAAAGTAGATAGAGACCTCTTGATCAAACTCTCACATCCTTGAATCAGCTTCCTGAAAATATGTAGTCAAAGGATCTTTATGTTTGATCCTTGAAACTAAGAAAAGAGAATGTGGAAGAAAAAGGAATAAAAGAAATCATAGAAGGAAAATATAAGATTAAAATTTTTAACACCTCACTTCCATCAAAAAAATAAACGCATGAATAACATTTATTCTGATCTGAATCACCAAGGGAATAAGGCGGAAGGGAAAACAACTTACCACAAGCCAAAAGACATAATCTCCATGTGGGATTTGCTAGGTATCTCAAGAACAAAGTTGGAAGGCAAAGAATTTAATCCAAAAAAAAAAAACAGTTGGAAGGTAACCAAATATAGATGAAGAACAAGGAAGACAATGAAGCCATAGCTAGAGAGACAAAAGAGATGAAAAGAAATTGAGGTAGAGAGGAGATGCATACCTGATACCTGATGCGGAAAAGAGTGAAAGGGCGATAAGAAATTGAGGAAAAGGAGGGAAAAAAACAGAGAAATAGGATAGAGAATTGGCAACACATCTAAAGAGAAAAATCATCGGGAAGGAAAAAGTCGCAGACTTCGAAATGAATTTTAACATTTAAAACACACTTTTACACGCAGCCCAATAAAATTAGTCATCACTGTTCATCTAGCTATCATCATCAATATATCAATGAATCCTTAGACTCTTTTACAAGTGTTTATGAACTTAAATCTTGTGACTCTTGTGATGGAAGGCAATCGAATTACTATAAGCTGTTACCAGCAAGCTTCGGCTTGTTTGCGAAGTCATTCCTATAAAAGTTTCTCCGATATTGAGACTAATTTATCCAGTCTTGCCCCAACTGAATGATATTCTTAGCATATAAACCCACATCAAATGATACAACTTAAGACATAGACGTGGGTGACCCTACTTGTCGGATGGAGCCCACTCACACCATATTTGGTTCGGTAAATTTTAGAAAATAATAGTTTAATTTCAAAAATATTAAAAGACGACCTAAAATTGAGAAATTTCAAATTAGCCGTGATGGCTAAATTAGAATTTTAACATATTGGCAAATTTATGTGATTTTAACATATTGGTGAATTCACAATGTTTTCCTTTTATTTTTTTTTCAACATTCATAGTATGATCAAAAACTCTTACAATGATATTTATAACTCCAATAACTTCATTTATTTTGTGTTTTTTAGATTTTTAAATTAAGATTTTTTTTAATATTCATTACGTGATTAACAATTCTTATAAAGATATTCACAATTTTATTAATACTATTAACCACTTTAGATAATAGGTTTTTGAATTTGGAGAAACTAGCGAGTGGCTAACCTTGTGTATTTTTAAAAGAATTGTTACTCATGCTATGAAGGTTAAAAAAAATCCCCCCAGAAAAAAAGTTGCCAGCATGGGTGACTTGAGGTTTGTTTCAAAAAAAAAAAAGACAAAAAAAAAGAGAAACATTATAAATTCACCAATATTTTAAAATTCCAAGTCGCTGACTATGACTTGATTATTCGAAATTTTACAAATTCGCATCGCCTTTTGGGTTTGAAACTTTAACTATCATTTTTTTGGGAAATTTCCCTGCCTGTATCTCCCCTGCAGCAGCTACAAGTCCTGAGGGGCTACATATATATGCAGAAAGTATTTAACATTGTTGATACGAATAAGGAAAGACGAAGCACAATGGAAATTACACAAGGGGAACAGCCAATGTGTCGATTAAGGAACGTAAAAAGCATGTTGTCTTTTGATTACAGCCATAAAACATAGTGTCTTTTCATATTGTTCCTATTTTATAATTAAATTCCAGCATTCTCTAGTTTTCAACTACTGGATGAATCTTGTATCAATATTTAATTTCCGAGTTGTTACTTACTGATTACTCTTTGGTTTCAGTCTTGAGTCAAATTTAATCTATACATCTATATATATAAAAAGAAAAAGGCATATTGTTACGCAACTAAGCCTTTGCTTCCTTTAGCCTTTATCAATCATCCTTCACACTTCACCTTCCTCTGCATCTCCTGCTTTAAGGTACGTACCTATATATCCATTCATTTCGTTAAAATCAAATGTAGAACTCTTTGCAATTAATGTTTGCTATCTACGTACTTTCACTACTGCTTATGTGGTTTTCATAGTACCCTTTTTCGTTTTGCATCCGTACCTTATTGTCACTGCTTAATCATAGGCTTGTTACAACTAGAAGATTTAATTTTTCTTAAATCCTGTGATACAGAGTTAATTAGATCTAATTATGATCCCATAATGCTACTGATAGGAACATTTGGTGCTGCCTCTGCCAAGCTACAGATATTGCTTTTGAGAAGCTTCTTACGAACATGTTTTTTAATTTAAAGTAATTACTTGGTATTATGGATTTAAAATGTCTCTACAGGATCCTGTTTTGATTTTTGTTTTTTTTTTGGTATATTTATTGTAGACCTGTATCTAGAATTAGATTTATATCATTGTATCTGCATGCTTACTGAAACAAATATTGCCGTGGTATTATCCTACGAAACATGACATATTTTCTTTTGCCCTAATATTTTATCCTGGACGTGAATGGACTGCATGATGCTTATTTATCGATTCTATTTAAACGTATATTGATGTTGTTTTTTTCATCATAGCAAATATCTAATGTGTAGATTTGATACGGTCAGAGATTAAAAATAACTCAATTAGTACTAGAGCTCATATATATAGATGGATTAAAGCTACTTCTTCAGGTTGTGTTGGCTCGAATGGCAGAGATCGCAATATCTGTTATTGCGAAACTAGCAGAATACTTGCTTGATCCAGCGGTACGTCAAGGGCAATATTTATTCCATGCAAACTGAATCACAAAGACTCTTGAAACTGAGAGACAAAGGTTGGCCTCTGCTCAAGATGTAGTGCAGAAACGTGTTCAAGAAACGCTTAGTAGAACTGAAAGAATTGATGATGCAGTAGAAAAGTGGTTGGGTGAAGTGAAAAATCATATGGATGAGGTGCTGAAGCTGGAGCAGCAAATGAAGGAAGGCAGAAACTGCTTTCAAGGGAGGTGTTCTTGCTGGAAGAGGTATCGTTTATGTAGACAGATGGAAAAAATGATGGTAACAACAAGAACTCTTATTGAAAGGAGTGAATTTAGTCCATTTTCTGTCCTTGCTTCACTTCCAGATATAGAATATTTTTCTTCTGGAGATTTTGTGTATTTCCAGTCCAGTCCACCAAGTTGGCTTCAGATCAATTGTTAGCCGCTCTCCAAGATGACGATATCCACATGATTGGATTGTAAGGAATGGGGGGCTCTGGTAAAACAACGTTGGTACAAGAAGGAGGCAAGAAAGCCAAGGAGTTAAAGCTTTTTGATCGAGTTATATTTGCAATAGTGTCCCAAACTCCAGATGTGAGAAAAATTCAAGGTGAAATTGCAGACTTGCTAGACTTGAAATTCAATGAAGAGAGTGAGCCGGGAAGAGCAAGACGTTTGTCAATGAGATTAAATAGTGGGAAAGGATTCTCATGATTTTGGATGATGTATGGGCTAAGATCGATTTGAAGGATATCGGTATTCCTTTTGAAGATTATCGATTGAGGTGCAAGTTTCTTCTCACCACTCGCCAACAAGTATGCAATATAATGGAGTGTGGAAGGAAGATTCCTTTGCATCTGTTATCTAAAGAGGAATCGTGGGTTTTGTTCCAAAAGCATGCACGTATGGCTAACAAATCATTAGATAACATGGCACAAAAATTTGTAAGGGAATGTAAAGGACTTCTCATTGCTATTGAAGCTGTAGCAACTTCTTTGAAAGGAAAGTCCATTGAAGATTGGATGGATGCATTAAGAAGATTGGGGGATTCAAAACCAGTTGATGTAGAAGGTGTCAGGGATGCTTTTGCATGTCTTCAATTAAGTTATGATTATTTGAAGAGTAATGAAGCCAAGTTAATCTTCTTGATGTGCTGCATGTATCCAGAAGATGAAGATATTCTCATTGAAGATTTGTTCAAAATTGCAGTAGGTTTAGGCCTTTGGGATGAAGTGGGATCAGTTGAAAAGGCAAGTAACAAAGTGAATGCATGTATAAACAATCTCATAGATTCTTGTTTGTTGATGGGCTTTGAGAAAAAGAAAAACTGCTTGAGAATGCATGACATAATACGCCATGTGGCATTGTGGATGTCATCCAAAGAGGATCATACTATTGTGATAAATCCTCAGGAAGATATGAATACCCTAGCATACAAATCTATAAAAGATTGTTACACATTCACTTCTTGGTGCCATGAAACATCTCGGATTCCTCAACAACTTGATGTTTCAAATCTTGAGATTCTACTGCTAATAATTCAAAGTTCATTTGAATTGTCAGAAGTAGCTTTTGGATGTATTGAGGAACTCAAGGTATGGGTATTGTCTCTGGATCTTCTTCATCGGTCTAATTATTTACTTTATGTCCAAAGCCTATGAAATTGTTACCTAATCTTTGAACTCTTCGCTTGCAAAAATGGGATTTTTGTGATGATTTGTCATGGGTTGTATGACTTAAAAGACTTGAGATTTTTGACCTGAAAGGTAGTTCGTTTGGGGAGTTGCCAAAACGATTAGAAGATTTGAAGGAGTTGAAGTTGTTGGATTTGTCAGGGTGTGAAATCAAAGAGCAAAGTTTCAAGGTAATAGAAAGATGCATACAACTAGAGGAGTCATACGCTTCTAGAATCCAACTAAGGAGAATAAAACTACAACCTGGTAAATCTTTTTTAAATAATGCCACATTTCCAAGATTACAGAGGTATATAGTTAAAATTGGGAGCACTGGAGCTGCTATACATCTTGACAGCAATGCTCCATTCAATTTTAGTTCAAAAGCTTTTCACTCGGAAAATTTAAATATCTCCATTTCACGTCCAGTTATTAAGGATCTTTTACACCGAGCAGAAGTTGCTAGCTTGGAAAGACTTTGTGGAGGTTGCAAAAATATTGTACCAAACATCATTGAAGTTGTAGGAGGGATGGATGAGTTGAGGAGCTTGTCACTTTCTTTTTGTTCAAATTTGGAATGCATGAT